TCCCTGGCGTTTCTGTCCGGCTCCAGACCCCTTCATCCACCTGGTATTCAAGACAGAGCAGAATTGTGCTGGGGCTATGGTGGGAGCTTGCTATGAAAGCTCACCTCTCCCCAGGGATTTCTTCTCACACTGCTAACTCCTGCATCTATATCCTTAACCCGGGCCTCTCCTGACCTCTAGACTCTCATGTTCAACTGGACAGCGATGTCACAAGTCTCACCAGGATCTCTGACCTAGCCTGCCCCTCCTGACCTGTCCATCATCCCCAAACCTGCCCCTCCCCCAGAGTTCTGCATCTCCCCACGGCACTGTCATCTACCTGCGTGCTAAGGAAGGGCAACATTCTTGGGGTCATGTTTGACTCAGCTCTTTCTGCCATGGCCCGCATCCAGTACATCAGCAAGTCCCGTGGGTCCACCTTCAAAGCAGATCCTGCTTCAGTATCTAGCTTCTTCTTGTGACTTCCACTGCTACCCCCAGGGCGCTGGCTACCCCACCTCCCCTGAACTAAAGCAGCTACCTCCTCCTTGCTCTTCCTGCTTCTTCTCTTGCCCCCTTAGACTCCATTCTCAACAGAGCACAAGAATGCATCAAATGCGAATCTAAACATGTCACTCCCCTGTTCAAAATCCTCCTGGGACTGCACCTCCGACCTACAGTTAGTCCCCAGGGCTTACAATGGTTCCTTGGGCCCCTGGCTACCATTCTCTTGCCTTCCTTTCCAACTCCTCCAACCCCTGTTCCATCTGCTCCCATGCCTGGCCTTCCTTACGTAGTGTGCAAGCCTTTGAGGCCAAGCCCCTTCTGCTGGGAACACCAGAGCCGGATGTCTCCATCCCTCCTCCCTGCCCTCCAGAGGCCTGCCTTAGTCTCCCTCCCTTCTCCTCGTACCCCCCTACCTTGCTTCCTACCCCTTCCACAACGGTCCTCACCGCCTCACTTCACGTTTATGGTCTCCCTTTTATCGTCTTTCTTCCCTACTAGAATTTAATCTCTGCAAGTGCAGGAATTTCACCTGTGTGGTTTAGAGTCATGGCCCCAGCACCTGCAATGAGCTGTTTCATGGGAGCACAGGGTTGTGTTGGGTGAACTGGTCTTGGTTTGGCAGCTCTCACACATCTCTGACTCGAAATGTAAAAAAGTGAGGCTCAAGAAGGCCAAGTAATGTGGCCAAGTTCTCCCACCTGACCTGGGACTTGGCCACGTTGGGCTGACTCAGAAGCCTTTGGAACATCTGCACATCCCACCACTTCCCTGGCAGATCTGCTTCAATCTGACTATCCTTCCATGGAGCCGAGACTCAACACCACAAGTCAAGGGGGTCCCTAAATATTTTTTGACATCTGTATTTCAATTTCTCAGGTATGCAGTAACTACTATATTACACAGACATGCCTCTGCCCTTTGGGTTCACAGGCTCGCTGAAGCATCACACACCATCTTGCCCACAGTGGTGGGCTTCTGGACAAGGTACCAATGCTTACTCCTCAGGCCTAGAGACCCATGATCTTGGAGTCTTCTTACACATAAGTGAAGCAAGATAACCCGATGGAGAAATTTATGGTTTCTTGTATTTTCCATGGCAGGTAATCATTAAAGAATGAAAGGCATTTTTCCTTCATCTCTCAGGTCAGCACTTGTATGTACTGAAGACCTGTCCTTTTGTTGCTTGCAAGACTGTCATGGGGTGGGAGGAAGTAGGTTGTACCCTGCAGGGATTTAAGGCCTGGGAGAATGGCACTGTGGGTTCTGTGGGAGGTGAGGACTGGCACCCCACTCAATACAGAGGCCCCTCAAATAGATGGGCTGCCCCATGCCTTAGCAGGCACTGAGAGGTAGAGCCAAGCCCCTGTGATGGACCAGGGGCAAAACTGAATGAAGGTCAATTTATGCCCAATTTTCTGGACCACATAAACCCCGGTTCCTGCAGAGTCCCAAGGGCAGGGAAAGCACCCCCCACCCTGAGACTCTGTGACAGAGATGATATTTCCTTCCCAAGACAGCTAGAATTATGCCTCGAGCAAGTGGATTTTTTTGGACATCTATATCAATCTCCCATGTATATAGTAGATGTACAACACATGTATATCAACAGCTTATCCACAACTGTCCTGAGCATTAAATTACTACAAGGAGGAATTTGCACTTTATACCTGGCAATACTGAGCAGCTTTCTCAAATCGCTGTTTCATGGTAGAGCTCCATCTTCCCCATGGACATTAACAGTGGTGCCTGAACAACAGGAGCACAGCCTGGGTGGGAGAGAATAAGTCTGCCTCCTAGTGGGCCATACTTATCACCCAGATGGGTGGGGGGCCATCTGGGGCTCACCTGACATGAGCCAAGGTCCTCACCAGAATCCGGGCACAGAAAGGGCCTGAGGGATGATCTAGTCCACACCCCTGCTTGGAAGGTGAAGAAAGAAGTCAACAGAATTCATATGGATGTCAGGCTGGGGTCAATTCTATGCTAAGGAAATGAACACATTTATTCTTTATGCCTACATTGTTTTTCAGTTTCTCATTTCCCTGTGCTAGGCAGAGCCCTGATGTTCAGGCTCTCGCTGCTCCAGGGGCATTTTCCCAAAGTGGGGGGGGGCGGGGGGGTGGGCAGCCAACCAGCCTCCCCAAGGCTTCTTGCAGCATGGATGGGGTGCCTTCCCAGTGCTGGGTGGGGATCCCTGCTGCCCGTTCTCTCCATCCTCTTGGCATGTGACAGAAACAGTGTTGAATTTAGCGTCTTCACTTGGTTAAGTTTGGGTTCTTAAAAGGTGCTTTCCAAGGCTGGATGGTTGGAGTACAATAGTACCCTTTTAAAATACAAATCCAGAAGGTAAGATGTAAGTGATAAAAATGTAACATATGGAAGAAATAACAGAAAAGACATTACAAAGAAGTAAAGGATTTTGCTAAGCATGGCAGGGTCGAAGGAGGGAGCTCTCCCGGTGCCAGAGGGGGGCGCTGCGCCCTTTACCAGGACTCCACCTTCAGAGGAAGCAGCCACCATTACTGGTGCTACCAGCCATTGTCAGGACCTAAGGTTATAAAGTCCCAGCTGGGTAGCAGTCGAGAGAAATTAGCTCACGAAACGCTTTTCTTTCTTAACCTATACCAATTCCCACTTCTGTATGAAGAGTGAACCCTTTGTTTAAAATCTCGTATCTGAATTATTCACATAGAAGCATGTTTAAAAGAGCCAGCCTCCATAGTGAGTGGTTTAGGATTATTGCTAATCCAGGTGAACTGTTTTGTGACTGTTGATCAGTCAGTGACCGTGAGAGAAGACAGAGCAGGGCTGTGGGTGTCAGTCTTTGGGTTGCTTTTGACAGCTTTGTAGCAGCTGAGGAAACAAGTCATCTGCAGTCACAACATCACATTCAGTGAGTTACTGGGAGTGCAGACCCTGTTCTCAAACCAAGCATCCCATGGGTGAGGCTCCCCTGAGTCCTGTGGCTGAGACCAATCACCAGGATGCGCAGCACTAATAAGGCCCCACTAACCACCATCCCTTCCTTTGTCTGTGTGAATTCTGTGCTTTCCTTCTTGCAGCAGGTGGATGAAGATGTTTCCTGGATTGTTCTACAAGAAATGGAAGGAAGCCAAGTATACACAGAAGCTTGGATCTGGTGAAAACACCCAAGTGTCAACTTCCTGGATGCTTCCCATTTGCCCTGCAGATCTGTGCTCTCTCTACTCTGCACCCACAGGCCGACCTGCACGGACCCCAGCAATGGCCTCTCTGCTCTCTGCCCTTCTGCTGGTGAGAGGCATTGGTCAGAGCCTGGATGGTGGAGGAAGGTGGTTGGAATATTTATTTTTTCAGAATCTCTTCTCCTAGAAGGCATACCTTTTATAAGTAGCTTTCTCCATCAGCTACTCTCACTGTTTGCCTCTTTGCTACCAGGACTGGTAGGAGATGACTGGTCCTTCTGCCAATGTTAAGACTGTACCAACTACAGACCCTTCTCTTCAGTCTTCTGCAACACTCCAAAGGCTTGGGCATTTTCAGTTGTGTCTTGGTGAAGAGCTGAGATAAGCCTGATTCCCTGACAGAGCAGAACTAGTTGACTGAAGGCCTGAACACACCGTCTCTTCACCATGCTCAGTCAGAGGCTCCCCTTCCTGTTCCCCTGGGAGGTGCCACACAGGAGCACCTCCAGGTGCCAGGCCTTTGAAGGGCATAGAAGTCTTCTGGACGCATGTCCAAGAAGCCCCTGAACATGTGATTTTGCAAAGATATATAATGAAAATGGTTATGAGTAAGATAGGATATTTGCTCTGTCTCAGGAAGAACCTACATCTGCTTTAGACATTTGTTTTGAACTAATTATTTTGTCCTGAGGAACTCCAAAGAAGACAAGTCTGGCTTGCTCCCCAGATCTCTTCCTCATTGGGATGTCAGAAGACACGCCAAGAAAAAGGGGGAGAGTGAAGTCAGGGTTTGTGTCTCTTCAACCTGGAGGCCGGGAAGGCTGGGAGGGCAGGAGATGACAGCCACACAAGGCACGTGCCATTTCATACTCAAATAGCTTCACCAGGCCACCACCTGTCTTCCCATCTTTGCAGGAAAACAGAAGCTCAGGGAGGTTACTAACTTGCTCATGTCCATAGGAAGTGACGGTCTCCTATTTTTCTCAAAGCCCATGGTCTTGCCTTTCATTCAACACCCACGGGAGGGTTAGATGGAAACAGGAGAAAAGTAAGGCAAAACCACAGAGAGTCCTCTTTAGAGGGGGCCGGCCTAGGCAGGTTGGGTCTGGGAACAGAGGGAAAACTCAAGAGGTCTCAGCACCACACTGTCATCCACCCCTACTGGCCGGTGCTGGGCTGGAGCAGAGCTTGTCTGCAGAGCAGGGGGTCTGCTGCAAGTACCTAGAGTCTGAATTGAAAACACTTGAGTCAGACAACATGCCTCTCCCTTGCTCCCTGATCTAAGTCAGGCCAGCCTCGCTTGCTCCCTGAGCCCAGGCAACATGGGCCTGCCGGGGGCCAGCCACTCACCTGCCTGCTCCAAAGCCACCATGGTCGCCTGCTCAATCAAGTCCCGTTCGATGAAGCTCCTGAAGTCTTCGCTGTACACGCTCAGATCTGGCAGCTGGAATGTGTAGATGGGCATCTCCAGGGGGAACTGCTCATTGTTGCACTCACTCGCCACGTGGGACCGGGCCAGGGAGACGATTGCCGAGCTGGCGTGGGAAATCCCCCGGGAGAGTCGCTTTTCTGCAGGGGGGGGAGGAGGGGGACAACCACAGGAACTGAGTGGGGTGGGTGTGTGGCTCTGCGAGCATGCATGCACACACACACGTGCACGCACAAAGACGCTCCCACACGTGTCCACACGCACACACACACTCGCCCGCACGCCTGTCACTCTTCCTGCAGGCCTCCCTGCTGCTGAGCTAATATTACCACCACCTGGCATATGGCACTTACTCACTCTGAGTCGTGAAACCATTCAGAAAGAGGCGAGCTGCAGGTCTACTACGCAAGTACACAGCAGCATCACGAAAGATCACCAGTCTTGCTTTTTTGGGTCTTAAGTTACATCTAACTCAGTTCAGCAGAGCTGCTTTGGGCTCGGCTGAAGGCCACAAGCCACACTGCTTTGTTTTACATATTCATATACTTAAAGCAAGAAGCAATTGGTTCAGGCTTTCCCCATGTGGCTTGGGTTGTAAGAGAGGTTACTTTACTAAAGGGACTCTGATAAACATATCCCATGTGACGATGATGCCCCAAATACAAACATACAAAACCATCACATCTGCTTCTCTTTTTTAAAGGTTATATTTATTTCAGAGAGAGTGCACACATGAGAGAGAGAGAGAAAGTGCGTATGAACAGAGGGGAGCAGCAGAAGGAGAAGCAGGTTCCCCGCTGAGCAGGGAGCCCATGCGGGGCTCGATCCCAGGATTCTGGGATCATGACCTGAGCTGAAGGCAGATGCTTAACCAACTGAGCCACACAGGAGCCCCTGTTTCTCTTCTCAGTTTGCCATTGACACAGCACTCAGAAAGTGCCCGTCTACTCTGGTCTTATTCTGCCTGGAGTTTCCAGCCAAAGGGTGAGAAGTTTAGTGAAGAATTCCTCTGATGTACCTAATGTTGCCCCGTGAAGAAAATCATGTGATCTCAACGCCACAGCAAAAATACAGATGTCTTTGTTCTCTTGGCGCTGAAACATACTTGGTTTTTTAAGCCCTGCTCTTAATAGCTAACATTTACCATAGTAGAAGAAGTCTTAAATACACGATGTTAGGGGGACACTTTCTTTTTGCAATCAATATTTGTAATAATGGAGAATTCTTCTAGCAAGGCAGAACTTCTCTTTCAATTTGCTCAGGAAAACAAAATTCAAACTAGTGTTTGAATGAGTGTTGTCTAAGCCCTGTGGCAAATTCATAAGTGTATCCACTCAGGTCATGAGGACTGCCACTTCATTTCAGATTAGCTTGCACACTGATCAGGCTCTGCGCATAAGCTGATGCCACGCTGAAGCATGTCTCTGCCCACCTGAGCTCACAGAAAACCCACGCTCGTGCCTTCATCCGGAAGGAGAGCTCCCTACTTCCCCACGTGCAAGAGCAGTGGACAGAAATGTCATTAAAGTCATTTTGCTACAGCAGACTAAAAACAAGAGGCTTTTGATCCTGGGGTAAGTTGGTTTTAAATTTAAAGTTAATTCTCAGAAGTCTCAAGTATCTGGGCATTAAACTGAGTGGTTGAGTCCCGCAGACAGAGTATTTTTAAAATGAGTAGTTTTGATTCATCTTCAGTTGGATTCTGAGACCATGATGACTAGTTATTTTCTATTTGGAGGAAAGGCAAAGAGAAGTTAAACCACACCGGCCATGAGAAAGAAGAGACATGGAACACATAGGGCCTGGCTTGTCTACCACTGGGGATGGCCCTGTTGCTTCCTGCACTTGGTCCACATTCTCGAGAGTGGGAGCAGAGGAGAATCCAAGTCCTTCTGCCATGTTCTCCAGGTCTCGCAAGCCATGCTGATGTCTCACCTCTTGCTGCAGACTACTGTTTCTGTATCTGGGAAAGTAGGAACTGCCTCACCCTTTGGGATCCGATGGAGATGGACATCAGACATTCTTTAACACCCGAGGTGCTACATGACCCCACAATCCACTGGGCAGACTCACAATGCTGCTCTCAACAGGTGGAATCTGATGGGCAGGGTCATCCATACTCTTTCATGGCTTATCATTCAGTACCTCTTTGTCAATTGATGAGATGCTATTAGGACCTTAGGAACACTGTGATTCATAGTATAATATGATGCTATTAAGCAGTTCCAAATATTAAATATTTGGAGTCTGAATGAAAAAGGCTTTTGGGGGGTGCCTGGGTGACTCAGTCAGTTGAGTGTCCGACTCTTGGTTTTGGCTCAGGTCATGATCTCAGGGTCCTGGGATTGAGCCCCTCGTTGGGCTCCTCAGTCAGAGGGGAGCCTGCTTGAGGATTCTTTCTCTCCCTCTCCCTCTGCCCCTCCCTCTGCTCACTCTCTCTCTAAAATAAATAAATAAATCTTAAAAAAAGAAAAAGTCTTCCCCACCACCACCTCCATGAATGCATATATGTAATCACACACAGATAGACACACACATTGATTTTTTAAACACGAACTCAGTGATCCTTCTTTTAGAGGTATAAATGAATTGTTTTACAGGAATGACCATGTTCAGAGTTATGCCCCAGAGAAATACAGATATTAAAGAAAAACACAGTGAGAGGACGCACAGAATTCTGCAACTATTGACAAAACCAACTCAAATTGATCTGTGATTCAGGCCAGGGGAGGTGTTTTAACTATATTTTCTTATTTTCTGTATTCTTGATGCTCTGGCATCTGGGGTATCCCTGACTGGGGAGAGGCTTTTCTTACTAGGAATAGCTAATTCTGAGAGCAAATGACTCACAGGAAAGGAGCATGCCTTTCTTATGCAAACCAACCAATCCAGAGCCCATACTCTGAACCACCTCTTCTATCTGGTTCTTACACTCCAGCAAGCAATATGTCTCTGCACCCCAGGGCAAGGTACAAGACCACCAGAGATAGCTCCTAAACCCCAGAGAGCCTGCTGAAATTATTCAATCTTGGCAATCCTAAATCTGTTTACCCTGCCTTGCCTTTTCCAAGGAAATCAAAATAAAACTCATGCCCGTATTTTTCCTCTCCGTCCCTTCTGCCTCCTGACCAACCTTGGTGCTTCCCCATGTGGTCCTGCAGAGTGTGCCATGTCACCTGCTTTTAGGGAACTGTGAGTCTAACAGCTTCCTTCATGATATTCTTTTCCATGTTTGCCTATCTTATCCTATCTGATTAAAACAAATCCTAGGTATTTTAAAAACAGGTGTACAAACCTTTTCTGAAAGGGACAGAGTAAGTACTTTAGGCTTTGTAAACCAAAGCCTTAGCCAATGCATAAATGAATGGGCATTGAGGGTGTTTCAATAAAAACTTTATTTAAAAAACAGACAGTAGCCAGAGTTGGCTCATGGGCCATTGCTTGCTGACCCCTAATTTATAATATGGAGACATTCATTTTCCCTGTTAGTGCATGCACTATGATTTCAAGAACTCAAGTAAAGGATACATATATCTAATTCAGAAACTGTAATTTCTAATTTTTAAAAAGTACATAGGATTGTTCAAAAAACTCAATGGAATTATGTGACAGACTTATTTTTTTCAGTTACATTTATCAGGCTCTGAATCCATCAACCTCTCTGGAAGCAGAGAGGAGGGTCCTTCTAGCTTCCTCAATGGGAGGATAGAATAATGGGTTGGTTGGTTTGCTGCCAGTCAAAAACAGCAGGGGCAGCCATATATACATACATATTTAGAAAACCCAAGATATTCTCTTAGAAAAAATGATTAATATTATAAGAGAATTTCTGTAAATTACTGCATAAACATAAATATGGAAAAAGTAAGTCGCTTTTCTCTATGTCTAAAATCTTAGAATCTGACTAAATGGAGAGGCATATTTAATGTTCTTGAGTGGGAAAACAATATTACAATATGCCAATTATTCTTAAAATAAAAATTCAATCCAATTCCAACCAGAATTCCAAGCTTAAGTTTTATATGGCAGAATAAAACCTCCAAAAATAGTGAAAAACTTTTGGAAAAGACTATCAGTGAAAGGAGTTGCCTTAACAGAAAGTATAGCATACGAACTACCAGAGTTAAGGTAACAGGATGGGTGACCGCACGGATTGACAGAGTCTGGAAACAGATCCAAATATATTTGGGAATTTAATATATGGCAACATTGGCATTTTAGTTCAGTGGGTAAGGAATGTTTTATTCAATAAATGTGCTAGAGTAACTCACTCTTGATCCAGAAGAAAGCAAGACTAGATTCTTCCTTATTACTTATAAAAATTTCAAATCAATCAAAAGACCTAAGAACAAAATTTTAAAAGAATATAGGAACATATTTCAGTAACTACTCCAGGAGGCCTTCTAAAGCGAAAGAGGACACCTCTCAGCCATGAATGAACAGTAATATAAACATTTTGTGTGGCAGAATATTCTGTAAACAAAGTCATAAAGCAAATGATATACCAGGAAAGACATACACATATAAAAATATATGTTCCTAGTCTTAATCACAGAGGATGCTACACGTTGATCAGAAAACTGAAAACAAATCAGTAGAAAAATGGGCAAAGTATGGGAACAGGCATGTTGCAGAAGGGGAAATCCAACTGGCTAACAAACAAATGACAAGATGAAAGTTAAAACAAGACACCCTTTTCCACCCTTCACAGCAGAAAAGCAATGTAAAGCCGTTACAAAAACGTCCAGTGCTGGCAAGAGTGGAGGGAGATACCTCATTTCACACATTGCAAGCAGAAATGCGTCTGGGAAAAAAGTCCCGAAGTTATTGAATTAAACATACACAGGTACTGGCACAGGACATCCACTTTGGGAACACTAACCTAGAGAAATAAAAGCACTAGTATCTAAGATCACAGGCATACAGTTGTTTATTTTAGCATTGCTAGTAGTATTGAAAACAAGCGAAACAAAAAAACCCAAGAAAAACCAGAATAACCATTAATACAGGAGTGGTTTAAAAATCATTGTAGGCTGTGGAATAAAATATTGAGCCTCTACTCGTGATTTACTGTTCAGTGAAACAAGTGCTCTGAGAAGCATTATGTGCATTTGACCCTGGTGCATTTTGAAAGAGCCCAAGGAAAGCAAGGAGGAGACAGACGAGGATGTAATCGTTGGTTATTACATCAGTGAGATCTAGGATGGGTGGGGAAGAAAACGCTGAAGTTCTCTCTATGTATCTTTGTACTGTTTCTTTCATCACGATAAACACATCTGACTCCTGTAATTAAGAAAAAGAATAGAGAAAATGGAGCCCGCGGGGCAGTGAGCTGATGATGAACAGATCTGGAGACCCGGTGGGAAGTAAGTGAAGGGACTAGAGGTGTTTGGCTTGGAGAGACCAGGGCTCCAGGAGGAGAGCTGGCCTTTAATCACGTGGGGTCCTGGGGAACTGGACTCCTCCTCCTGCTTTTTGGAGGCAGAGGGAGGAGCCGGAAATGGAAGCTGCAGTGCACGTTTCAGCTTGATGTGCGTGGAGAGCCCGATGTGTCCGCAGCCCAGGAGAGGTGGTGACCTTGTCGTTCTTTGCACCCTCCACGCCCCCCACCCCGCTACCCCATGCAAGCCATGGCACTCTGGGGAAGCTGTTCCTGGCCTCAGCCCCTCACCAGGTACCTTGGGCAATGTCGTCCTGTCTCTGCAGGCAGGGCCGCTCCACCTTGTGGCCGGGCTGGGGCGGCTCTCGCTCTGGCTGCTTGGGGCACCTGCCCTCGTTGAACACATGCGGCAGGTTGGCTGTGTGCACTTGTCGGAGCTGCTCATAGTCACTCAGAGCGGCAGTCAGGTCCCAGTTTTTGCCTATGGCCAAGAAATGACAATATTAAGGATCTCACTGTAGGAAAAAAACTGCAAGAAGGGTTCCTCATCAGCACGTTGATGAATGAACTTTCCACCAGCAATGCTCGTTTTTTTCAGAGGGGTAAAGTGGCCTGATGTGTAAGTAGAAGTTCACACCTGCGACTGACGTCCATCTGAAATACGTGACTCTATTTACTCTCTTCGCCTTTAGATTCATGCACACACATGTCAAAACATTCTATTCCTAATTATCATGCCTTCCTCCACCCCTCTGAAAAATTAAGCTGTAGAGCTTACTCTCTGAGAGAAGCAAAATATAAACTAAATTAAAAAAATCAATAAAAAGAATCCCCAAATTTTCTTCAGGCTTTTGCTTCAGTTTTACTTCTCTTTTTAAGCTTAATACGGGAAAAGCAGAAGCTTGGGACGTATTCTCTGTGTAAAGCCTCAGTGGGAGGCAGACTTCAGATCTCTGACCTTGAACTGGGGGAGATGCAAGCCAGGACTGGGGTCCTGGCCTGGGACAACTCTAAGCAGGGCCCCTGCGCACGGAGATGGGTGCCGGGTGTTGAAGGGGACTCTTTGCAACCCTAGGGGGAGCTGTTGTGGGGGCTGGAGCTCTGTGGGGCTCTAATTCTGAGTCTGAGTCAATGGCCTTCTGATGGACCCACGGAGGCATTGCACACTGCATTCGATTCATCAGGCATCATGAGCTTTTTACAGACAAAGAATTAAAAGCCTAGCTTTCATTTTAAAGAGCAAATAAAATCTTATCCTTTCCCGGTTAACTTCGAAGTGCAGGTATTAACCATATTGACCTAATTATATGCTGAATTATGTTGTATATACAGTATCATGAGGCTTTGAGCGTATAAAATAATATTGGGACATCCTTTTTTTTTTTCCCCTTCCACTTCTAGTGCAGACTTGATACTATCAATCATCATATGGCCATTGGTAATTTAATCACATGTTTTTTTTTCTCCATAGTCAGCTAACAAAGATGCAATAGTTGCATCTTTGTACCATCGTAGTGGGTAAGAAAAGCAAACTAATCTATCTGGGTCACACAGCAGAAAAAAAACAGCAGGAGCTGGTGTTTTTGTAAGTGATAATAAACAGGGGGTATTGGTGTAATGCAGCTGACTATTGTTAGTAGCAAAAGTGGAGGGTGGTGGTCGTGGCCATGGGGCTGGGGTACTGGCCATGACAGGGCTGGTTTTGGGAAAGGAAACTGAAGCAGAAATGTCAGAACACACTCTCGCTCTTACACGGGACTAACAATCACAGTGTACACATCCTACCTACATGACCAAAACCTGGCATTTTCAAGTCTAGTTGTAGTGACTATCAAAGGAGCATTAATGTTCCAAGAAGACAAAGATAAGTCCTTGCCTTCAGGGAAATGATGCCTTAGCAGGGGTGATGACCTGAGTGGGCACCCTGCTCTAAGGCATGGCTGGTAGGGGGCAAATGCCCAAGGGAGGGTCAAACCTGCATGGAGGAGGAAGGTCAAGGAGAGGAGAGGTGGAGGAGGAGCATTCCTGATGCCAGTGCCTATCACAAAATGCAGACATTCCAGCATGGATGTGTGTATTAGCAGTAACATCAGCATGACGAATTCTGGTTGTGAAGAGGGATGGGAGAGCAGGGAAGCAGCGCACGTGGAGCCCCTGAGGAGCTCCAGGTGCAGCCAGGGGTGTCATCCTCCCCAGGCCCCAACAGGACACAGGAACTATTCTGCCATTTCACAAATAGAAAGTGACGCGTAGTCTGATTACAGCATTTACCCGCAGTTCCTCATTTGATATATCACGGTGTTTGCATGTGGGCCCTCCAATCTGTTTTTTTCCCGCTGAGCTGCATCTCCCATGCAGGGCTGCCCTGCACACAAAATCTGGTCCTGGCAGGGCCGTGGACCCTAATCCTGCTGGCGGGGCACTGTTATGGGGAGCCAGCCCACTCCCGCCCTACTGTGCTTCTTCCGCCCAGTGGAAAGAGTCTTTCCTGCTGCTTCTGCCTGTTCCCTACCCTTCCCAGAGCCCCCCATCCACGGTTCCCACTACAAGGCATTTGGGTCCAAGTGGGAGAGCAGGCCTCGAGTTATGTGTAGCTCCAGTAGGCCAGGCTGCAGCCTCATCCTGCAGGACAAGGGTGTGCTCCCACTGCATGCATCTGTTAGAGGATCAACTCAGACCACACTGACGAGGCAGGTGTCCCACCATCGGTGAAGGACCGTACATTCTGCTTTTCTCCCCAGTGACTTCTCACTGCTGATCTTCTGGCTTGCTCATGCCTCCTCTGCATTCTCCTATTGCTGCCTCATACTCACGCTCACTTAGCTATGCACCTGACCTGTATTCTTTTTTTTTTT